TTTTCTTTTGCTGAAATTTTGCTAAACAAGATGTGGCAGTGAATAACATAAGGAAATCATGCAAATGCTTTTTTGTTCAGTATTGTTAGCCAGCAGAAAGTGACCTGTAATAAATTCTGACCAGACCACTAACAAGAGAAGCTGCTGCTACTCTCGTCTTTCACAAGTCTCGGTTTTCATTGCTGATATGTTTTCAAATATACACAGGATTAAATAGGAGCTGTCACTCTTTGTGGAACCTTTACCCTTGAGAATGTGAGTGTGTGTGATCTCTGTCTGCCCCCTGTTCTCTTTTCATTGGCAATACATAAAACATCACCACCCAGTCACACACACAGGTCAATGTGGTCAGAGGTCATATTGTGTCTGAAGGGATTTACTCTTTTGGCTGTTGATGTAACACACACACACACACACACACCACACACACACACACACCACACACACACATCACACACACAACACACACACACACACACACACACACACACACACACATCACACAACACACACACACACACCACACACACACACACACACACACATCCTTTTTTTTCCTTGGCTTTTAATCCCAAATCCTTTCGTTGTGTCCTTTGATTTCATCTCTTGCTGTCAGGTCGATGGATCTGTTGTACGCATTTAATCCCCTTCCTTTGTCATATGACCAATTTTTGACTACCTCACTGTCTGCTGGATGCCATGCACCAACATCTATGAATCCAATAGCACATCCACCAATGTCTGTTGAACAGCTAGCTCTGAAATCAGCATTTCCAAAAGGCTCTCCTTTAGAGGCCAACATCCACTGACTCTATCTCCTTCCTCATAGCTTAGCCCGTAACCAGAAAGACAGGTGTCTGGAAAACTCCAGTCACATGAATGCCCCCCTGTTTTAATGAGGCCCCCAGACATGTGCGTTCCAACACCCCTGCCTTGTATATGTCCGGTTGAATCGAACCCCCCCTGGGTGCGTTAGCGCGCTTGGTTGGGGCGGTTCATTTGGGTCGGTTGTGAACACAAGTCGCGAGAGCGCTGCTTAAGTGAACTAAACCCAACACGGACCTATGGTCCGCTAAAAAAATAAGGTGGTCTCGAGCGGCTTGCTTGCCGAAAACTCTGGAGCGTTCATTTGCTGGTGTGAAGCGGGCAGTCCGCCAGCCAAAAAAACATAGGAACGGCCAGTATTTACGTGTCACAAGAACGGCGGATATCTTCAAAAATCTTTAGCGAAAGAGTCTTTCAAGACATCCGCGGTTGTTTAGTTAAAGAGTAAAGCAGAATTAAGTGTTGAACAGTGTCGTGTAAAGTAAAAATTCTCCGTCAGCTACATAAAAGAAAAATATTCCGTTGTTACTGTTTGAACTAACGTAGCAACGGCAGGAACTGCTTCGATAGCGTTTTTGAGGAGCTTTTTGATTACAGATTTGAAAACATCGTTGCTTGCTTTAAAAGTAGTACAATTCATTATGTCAAACCTTGGAAAGTATCTAGATATCCCTGCCCTAATGCCAAAGTAACTGGCAACTGAATATGTGTTGCCGTCTGATGTCTATGTCTGGACCGCTGCGTAAAAAAGAGGGTTTATGCCCGTTACTTCTTCTCCGCTGTTTTTTAAAGGACGTTGTCTGATTATATAATCATATGCGCGGGCCGCTAGTGTCTGTTGATCTCCAGATTAACAGCAGCATGAGAATAACCTGCCGAAAGTGCCGATGCTCCATGGCGGAGGCTCCGCTAGAAATTGCCGGGATTTGCGTTTTTACCCCCTTATGTCTGACCAATGGTTGAACAGCATTTCCGAGCACATGACTTGTGTTTAAAGTTTATAGTCCGTTTGAGATTTGCCCGTGTGAACCTGGTGTGAACGCAAACCGAACCTTCTGAAAAATGAAACAATGTAACAAACTGTGGTCTGGTGCGCACCAGAGAGCGGACTATTAGGTGTGAATGCACCCAAAACTTCCTCAGTACATTGTTTCAGTCATACAGTCTTCTAGTAACCACAAAGAAAAACAACACAACAGGACGTGGATTTCCTAGATCATTTAAAGAAAACAATAACATTATGGTTATAAGTCAGTGTGCACCATCAGCAATAATATATATCTCCAATAATATACTTTTTTCCCCGAGTATAACCATGGTCAGATTTACAATCTAATGCAGAGAATCCTTACAGAGAATTTACTTTGAAAAAAATATACAAATTCATATTTGTTACAAATTGCAACTAGTTATCTAGGTTAGGATAAAAACACTTCATTAAAAAAATAGAGGTTTAAATAAAAAATGTCTGTCTTGCTGTTCCTGCTGCCTGTTAGCTGCGGCTACATGCTAGCTGCTGGGGCTCAGCGACTTCATGCTACTTTCAGGTCTGATGGGAATCAGTGCAGCGGAAAATATGTTTCATATTTAAATGTTAGAAGCCATCATTATGTCCACATTCGAGTTTATTGTACACTTCCATTTCAACAGATTTCCACGTCTCTTCTGTTTTGTAGTGCTGCCATCCACTTTCACTATTGCAAAAACCAATCCATTAAAAACTAATCACACATATTCCTGAACTGACACAAAGTAATCCATCATTTTTAACTACACAAATATTTTACCTTTTTTACTTTAACACACTGCTTATTATATGTTTAAAAAAAATCTGATTTGCCCATGACTGTGCACTGTTGATGATAAATTCATAATTTGAGATCAGTCATTTCTGGAAGAATGACAGTGCTTTTGACAGGATTACAGCTGGAGTGCTTGACAGTAATTATGACTACATGTCTAATTGAAATTGATGGATTATGCCATTAAGTCTTGGCAGCAATATCTTCCTGATATAAATTGAAGGCCAGGACTTCAGTAACTGACACTAAAGCTGTGGCAATGAGGGGTTAATATGTGTATGTTGTTAAAACACAAGAACTTCATGAACCTTATACAACTTACTGCTCTGTCCTCGTGTGACCAGTCAAGCGTCTGAACTGCAGGATGACTTGATAAACATCTGCTGTTCTACTTCACTTTACTTTGTCATCTCTACACTCTCGCCATGACCTTGGTACCGATGGCAGAATTAGATCCAGGTCCATCACAGACCCTCGCTTCACAAACACTTTTGTTTTAAGCAGCTAACAAGCAGCTGCTTCAGATCCGTCACCTTCAAAGCACAGAGATTAAATATTTCCCTCGTTTCATGTATATTAATACATTCAATTTCATACAGCTGGTTCCTGCCACACTGAAAATACTCAGTGTCTATTTACTCTTCCTTTCATGTGTGACCATGAGATGCAACATGAAACAATCCATTACAATCCACGCAGTCCTTAGGATTTACATGTTTCTAAAATTAGTTGTCTGTTTTTTTACTTTGCAAGTTTAAACAAACTTAAAATTGGACAGGTATGTTAGTGTGGCATTCTCCCCAGGAGAAAAAAAACATGTATTTGACTTAATTATAATATAAAATGACCTAAATTAACAAGTATTAAACATACAACTATAACAAACTTCATGCTTGATTCATATTCCTTCCATCACCTTAGCATCATCATCATTTGTATTTTAGATTTGAATATCCTATATTGGAATATTCCTGAGAGTGGACCAGCCCTATATGGCAGGTGTAGGCGTTGATTGGTGACACTCAGCCGACTGAAACGTCTTTTTTTACCTTGGTCCGTGCAGTTTGACGCCTTTATCTTGGAACACATATCACATATCTTACTTGTGTAAGATTAAGGATAACATTATTAACATATTATTGCATGAAAGTGTTGTTGTGTTTTTCATTTTGTCATAAAACTGAAAAGAGAAAGATGTAGTATGAGCCACAGAAAGCTGTTCCAGCTAGCTTTCTGCATGTTACGGCTGCATGATGTATGAAGGTGCAGCCATAGAGCTCCAAGGCACCTCCGTCATGAGTCCCGCTGGTAAATGCTGTTAGTGATATTAGTGAGTGGTCGTCAGTGCCACTTCCTAGAAGAAATAGCCAGAGTTTGTCCTACTAGTGAACCCAAAGCAGCTGTCCAATAGGAAAGCAGCAGGACTGTCCCGGCATGTGTGGCAGGCGGAGGGGGAAGCTCCTCCTCCACCCATCAGCAGTCACCATCCGTCAGTGCAGTGTCAGAGCTCGTCTTCATGGTTCCTCTTTAAAACTTCCTTCTTTGCAGTGACTTGGTTTTAAAGACACTTCAGATGTTTCACACCTCTGATACAAATCTAATAACATATCTGGTAGCAGAGTCTCTCACAGTGCAGTGGTGGATTTTATTGGTTTTTCTTAACCATTCTACCAAGACTCAGTGGTTGTGGTGAATATTGTTGAATCCATTTCCACAGTGTTCCGTTCTCCCCAGACATGTGTCCTATCTTCAGTGCAGTATGAGAGTTGGGACGGCAGCTACGCAGCCACGTGTCCGATCAGGTATATGTTGTCATAGAGATGGCCCACAAAGTCATCGGAGACATTATGTGCTGCTCGGCGAGTGTTCCTTATGAACTCCCTCTTGGACATCTTGTTTTTGACGTGGGGGCTGGTCAGGTCGATGGACAGCAGGATGAGACTGTAGCACAGCACGTACACAGCATCTGCGGGGGGGGGGGGAGAACATCAGGTGTGTGGGGCACTAACAGTCTAGTCCCAGCTCCTAGAGTCCTTTTGAGAACCAGGAAATGTTGAGTGTTATGTTGGAAATCTATAGTACGGGTCCCCCAGCCCAGCACATAGAAACTGCTGGATGCTAACTTGGCATTATAGTCCATGTAAACAATAATGAATAGCCCAACGAGAGTACAAACATGTCCACTTTCTGGTTAAAACTGCCACCTGGGATCCTAAAAAAATTCAGAAATTGACTCAAAATCCACTTTGGCTGAATTGGCCAAGTGATTTTTCATCTATTGTTATCGTTCGAAGCCCCACCCAGGGACCAAAGCACTATTTTGTATTAAGCTGGCACAGCGGGAAACAAGATACATTGTTGAAAAACGGCTTAGAAAACCTTTTCAGATAACCTGAAGGGGAAACCAGGAGACCATCCAAATACATGGGGTGGGCTTCTTACATATCTGGAGACAGATTCCAAAGGGTAGCCTTACTTTCAAGTTCACATTTGGATTGATAACAATTTTTACAAGAGAATAGGTAATAGATACGTTTGTTCTATATCTTATAATCATGGTTTTGTAACTATTGATATATAGGCTCTTTTTTACCCCACTTTTAACTGTATGGAGACAAACGAGCTGTTAACTATTTCCTCCCTGCAACTATAGTGTTTACTTAAACAGGTTTTATGTTATCTTGTTAATTATTTCAATACTATGTCCCTTTTTTTCTTTTTTTTCTTTTTTTACATTTGTACTTGTTTTTCTTGGTATATGTACACATTGTGAAGAAGGTAATGGTCAGACCTGGTGGGAGGGGTGAGGTTAGCTGTACACAAACCCTGCATTAGTGTTCCATATAGCTTGATTGCAGAATGCAGAACCCTGTCATGGATTTTAAGCATGGAATCCTAATATCAGATCGTAAACAAGTTATTATCTCTAATTCTATCTGAAAACGATTAATAAGACACATATTTATGGATAATGTCACAAATAAACTGTTAGCCTCTGCTGTGGCCAATCCTTTCCAAAGGGTGAAATGAGCGGCAGCCATCCATCTCTAGCCTTGGGCTCAAACCATTACACTAATCCTGCTAATCACATGAGCATGTCCGAGGAGTTACCAGCAACAGAGACTGTACGCTCGGCTGACATTAACAAAGCCCTCCATTGGTATATGCACAGTACATTGACCTACTGAAGCCAGTGATTACTTAAATAAAACCTTCACGGTTCACTTTCATATTGTGGATGAGCCGATTGGTCAGAAGTGTGGTAGCTTCAAAATAAAACAAATAAAATCCATACACCGTCAAATCTAAATGTTGACCAGATCATTGTTATTAATAAAATATATTCTCTCTACCTCAGAATTTACTGAATATATTTATGGTTTCATTCACTTCATTTGGGACATCCATTTGCATTCCTCTAGCGCCACCTTCAGGTGAAGAATACAATGTACACAACTGTGAGGAAATTAGTGTTCACAGCAACAAATGCATCATTTGAGTTTCCACTGATGTATCCCGTCTGTGTATATGAGAGCCTGTAACAAGAAATTGCAGGATAGAAAATCTTTAATCTAAAAAATGACATGTTCATTAACTCCAGTATAAGATATAACCATAACCAAATAATTTTTTTAACTTTAAAATGTTAAGTGTCCCCTTCAGCAAAAATCGTGGTTACATGTTGAAATTAATCCAAAAATAATTGAACGGGCATGAAATGAACTGTGTCCATTAAAGATTTTGTATTGCCATTCAAATTAATCTTCTGCAGTGTGTGTGTGTGTGTGTGTGTGTGTGTGTGTGTGTGTGTGTGTGTGTGTGTGTGTGTGTGTGTGTGTGTGTGTGTGTGTGTGTGTGTGTGTGTGTGTGTGTGTGTGTGTGTCTGTCTGTAGGGTATTAGTTATTTCATTTTCAAAGGTATCCTGGTGGATCATCCCAAAGAGCTGGCTAAATTCATCTTCTACACCAGTGTGTGTGCCATGCTATGCGTGTACTAACCAGGATTAAGGCCCAGATCTCGGACCAGGCCGGCGTTGCAGGTACAGAATCTGTGGCTGAACTTGGTGATGAGGGTCTCCAGATACTCGCCCCTCTCCTCGGGGGCGTGGATGTGTCTGAAAAAGTCCCTCAGAGCGTTGGGGAGAAACTGGTTACTGAAGTTATGGAGCGTCACCAACTCGTCCAGAACATCCCGCCTGCACACACAAAGACACATAGACTGAAAGGCATGATAGAAGCAATATTTATTCATTTTTACATGCAGCAATATCATTGTTTCATGTCTAGTTGCCAGCATAGTGAACCGGAAATGTTGAGTACCCCAAAGTTTTATGATAGAAATGTATAGGGGTCCCCAGCAGAGAGAAATGCAGGATGCTAACTAGCATATGTTGGGAAATTAATGGCATTATAGCCTAAGTGGACAATAGTTAATGAAAATGTTTTGGCCGATTTGAAGAATTTTGGAGTGTTGTTGGCCGTTAGTGGGGATGCTGAATCCATTAATGATAGTTAACAGGATTAAAAATGACAGTTTTAACCAGAAAGTGGCCAAATGTTTACCAATAAATGGACCCAGCAACATCAATAACCCCCAAAACCAATCCAAAACTGTCCAAATCGGCCAAGCCATTTTCATCAACAATTGTCCGCTATAATGGAAATGTATGCTAATTAACGTAATTTGTGGTAATTGTGCAAATTGCCCAACATATGCAAGTTAGCATCCAGCAGTTTCTATTCTTAATTTACATTTCTAACATTAAACTTTGAATGTCTCATCATTCCCTGATTCACAATATGACTATACAGTAGACAGTAGACCCAAACACCTTTCCACAGTTTCACATGGTAAAATGTTTCTGGGTGTTCCCTCTGTTCTTGTTACCTCTCATCCAGATAAACCCTCAGCATCTTCCAGTTGAGCCGTCTGGTGTAGAAGATGAATTTAGCCAGCTCTTTGGGATGATCCACCAGGATACCTTTGAACATGAAATAACTAATACCCTACAGACCCACACACACGCACGCACGCACGCACGCACGCACGCACGCACGCACGCACGCACGCACGCACGCACGCACGCACGCACGCACGCACGCACGCACACACACACA